GTACTATCTTGTTCTGCCGGGATAGATAATCTGCTAGGATGTTTAGCTTGCCCGGTATGTGTCTTGCTTAGATCTTGCAATTTACTGATTCTACCAAGGCATATAAACGTGTAACCTCCTTCAGTAAAGGTAGGGACCTTGTGCCTCCTAGGTGCTGAATGTAAGCGACCAGGGTCGAGTTGTCTGTGGCGATTTTTACTAACGAATGGTGTAGTCGATCTAGCCATGCTGTTAATGCTAGATAAATCGCTCTCATTTCTAGACAATTGATGTGTAATTCTTTCTCTTGGGAGGACCATTTTCCCTGAATGGTAACATCGTCCATATGGCACCCCAACCTTCTCCTGACGCATCTGTGTAGAGTTGATATAGAGGGGTGGGGTAATAGAGTGGGATGCCTGGCATGACATTTTGACGATTTAGCCACCAATGGAGTTCTGATATTTGATCTTGTGGAGGATGGATTAATGCTTCCAGCTCTAGGTTTTTGTTGGTGTTCACCCAAATCTGTAGAGGTCGTAACTGTAGTCAGCCTCTGTAGGTTAGATCTTGGATAGATGTGAGCGAGCCTAGACATGACATCCACCAGCATCTTGACTTGATGGGTTGATCGAGAGCGATTGTTATCATGTGTTCTACTCTTGCATATCTGTCCTCTGGGGGTGCTACTATGCCCTTGTTGAGTATAAATCTTGCATCTATATAGGTGATGTCTTGAGTGGGTACTAGCTCTGATTTTTGAGGATGAACCAGGAATCCTAGTTGAGTGAGAAGTTGGATGATACACACTGTGTTTAAACTGATTTGCGATTTGTCCTGATCGTCTTTGTATCCGTGAAGTCTTATGAGCTTTAGATGTGCAAACCCGATGATGGGATTGGTGATCGTGGTGAATAACCATTGGGCGATGGATATGCCGAATGGAAGTACTCTGAATTGGTATCACTGACCGTTGACAGCAAAGCGTAGGTACCGCCAATGACTTTGATGGATAGATACGTGAAGATACGCGTCTTGGAGATCTATACTCCATCTGAAACTTGGGTGGTATTTCCAGATATTCTTTGTTCGGGACTTTCAGGTCTATGATAAGTCGCATCTCTGTAGTATTTTTCTTTGGTACCAGGAATACTGGGGAGTAGAATCCGAGAGTGGTGCCTGATTCTTCTAGGGTGCTGATAGCTCCTTTTGCAAAAAAAATTTCTAAGGCCACTTCGGCTGCAATCAATTTCGGTCCTGATAGGTGGTATCTGGGTCCAGTAGGATGGATGACTAGCCTTGGTCTTTTTAAGAAGTGAAGTTTGTAGCCTCTTCTTACAACTTGGAGTAACCATGAGTCGTCTGTGATTGCCTTCCAGTTTTCTGCGTACTTCATAAGACGGCCTCCTACTGTACCCGGAGAAGGATGAATGCTGAACTTGGGTAGTCTTGGGTCGATGTCTGTGAGACCGGCTAGCTCGACTGGATCTAAAGAGGTCATGTCTTTGATCTTCCGTAAATCTAAATCGTTGTCAATTGGGCAGGTGATGTCGATAGGGTCTGGACGTGTCTGTAGATTCTTGGTTGAGTCATCTCCGGAGGGAGCCCCTTCTGCGACTGCTTCTTCCTTTGTTAACACCTCTTTGTGAAGTGGGATGAACCTCTTTGAAGTTCCTGTACCTGGGTTGATATGAACTGTACTTCTGCGTAGAGGGACGAAAAGAATCCCGGCTAGACTGGACACGTCGACGTCTAGGATTCTGTTGGTGATGAATCTCTGTAGGCCGTCTATGCAAACTGGAGGCTAACGATATGATGGATTCTTGAAATTTCTGACTGGTAGAAGAGGCAATGGCTTCCTTCACTGATTCCAATCTACCGTTGAACATCTTAGGTGAAGTAATAGACTGTGCCATCAATGAGTTCTTTAACGGTTCTCGTATAGCATGATTAATTTGATGTATTAAGTGTTTTCTTTGCATGTTCAGAAACTGCGCTGACATCCAGACCTGTGAAGTTTGTAGTTCCTACTGCATCCTCAGTATGTGGTCCAATGTGTATGAAACGAGCCTCGTGATGTGACATCTCAAAGGGAGCGTCTAATGTAGATCATTGGTCTGGTTGTACGAGGGTAAAAAGTGGCGAATGCCCGCTGCTAACCAGTTAATGTAAGAACTGACATTAATCATCTGTTTGTTGATTTTGTCTAAGTACTTGATTTTGGACATTTCTGTGCGCATCATGGGGTTAGGTTGTTTAACCCACTCATGGTATTCATCATCAATGCTAATCTGTTCTGCAAAGGAATCATCATGAATTTTGTACGGATATTTGTTGTACGTAGACCTCAATTTAGAGCTAGCGCCCGTAGTAAAATTTCAAAGAATTTTCTGTTTTCTTGATAACGTCGTCCATATAGGATGGACGGGGAAGGGTATGGTGTTCTACAGTCTCCCTGCCAGGCTCCTCATACCCTGCACGTAAACAAGGGTTTAGAAGTCTTATCCTTTTCTGGTTTTAATGACGGCATAAGCTCATAAAGTTCAGCAACGATGTCTTTAAGAGGATAATGGTTAGGTCTGAATTCATCATCAAAAGCTGTGTCCCCATAGCTTGAAATGTCAGTAAGACCTAAAGACCCACAACCCCTATTCTGATTGCCCTGGGGGTGAGACGAATGGCTGGGGGTTGCGTGATCCCGACTGCCGGATCTACCATAAGCTGAGTGGGAGTCACGTGTTTTATAAGTGGAGGAAGGTGACGTAATCCTTGCCTCGCTTTCTCTGTCCCTTGATCTGGATTTTGATACCGTATGGGAAGGCGAACGTCTAGGTTTTCTATGCTGATATGCACGGTCTATGTCAGATCTTTTGTCATGGGAGCTAGAGGGAGATTGATGTTTTTCTCTATGCATTGTCCGTGATTCACGGTGTGCCCTATGATGTTCATGGTAGGATAATGTCTGATACTCTCTGTCTCTATGAATGACTCTCCTATTGTCCTCAGAATCTGATTTAGCGTAGCCTTGTGTATTTCTGCTGTATGAGGGTGTGCTGTCATAAACAGCTTTCGATCTTTGTCTAAATTCATTATCATTATCTTGTCCTGAACTCATTTAAGTTAAAGGGGTAGAGGGGGAGCGTCGTTTTTACAACGATCGGCCATGCCTAACGCCGCCGGATGTAAGTTAGGGAGATCTTCGAACTCGGTAAAATACATCTGCTCCTTAACTTTGGGTGAGTGGGATGAGGCACGAGGTCTTCTAACCTCATCCTCTTGTGACACTCTCTTGTCACCCACGTGATCAAAAACCTCCGATGGCTTAATCACTTTCCTCTTAATAGAAGTAGAAGCTCTAGTACACCTTTTATAGTCCCGATTATTGGCCCATGCCTTGGAGAGCTTTTCATTTTTTTCTTTTGATAGAGGCTCGCAGTAGGTGCATCTAGACTTCTGTGTGCAGCTGCTTTTCTGGCAAGCAAGACATCTGGGGTGAGGGTCACCAGGGACTTGGTGTTGGCCACAGCCCGAACAGACGGGTGTCTGTTTCTGAGCTGAGGATCTCATCCCACAACACTTCCCATAAACTAATTACTTATGAGATCGTCCGATCTTTTTATACCCCCGTTCTAGTAGAACTGTTCACTGCTTGCAGACTGTGATTCTTGAAGATCAATGTGCTATGTAGTGTGGAACCCAATCACGTGTACAAATTTTTTGTCCTTGTTGTCATCAGGACACACAGGATTAGAAGTGACTGGATACCCGTCTGGCGCATGCGCGGTAGCGCCCATGGCAAGTGATAGGGTTTTCCTCACAACTATGGATATGGTGGCAGTGTAGTGGACGTCTGTTGAAAATTTATACAAAAAATTATAGTGTGGTTTTCAGCATAAACAGGAATTTATGGCAATGATGTGATAGAGGTGTAGTATTTTGCAAGAATTATAAATCTTGAAAATATAGCCCCCACTCAGCTTTTGTCTTCTCCACCATGGCAGTTAGTGAAACCAGAGGGTGCACGTAATGCCCATGTGGGTCATCGCCAAAAGGTGTCCATGGCTGGCAATATCTGTCCACGGGTTGGCTGTTCCATAACAGAAACGCCTGTGTGGCCCGTGTGGGACCGAGTTATTTACATGGGCATTACGTGCACCCTCTTAGCTGCCTAGACTGTAGACCCGTTAAGATTCCGGGGTTAAATAGGTCTTCAGCAACCCATGCTTGCTGTAAAAGGTGACTATGGTTGTCGTAAAAGGCGACAAACGGGATCAGGTGGTCAGGCTCACGGACTTGGTTGATGCATGTAATCGATCCCAATTGCGTGGATCGATGCTCATGATATTAATCACTGAATTGTCTGGTCCAGACTCGATTATTTACAGACCGCCGTCATATAGCTTGAATATTGTTGAGTGTGGCGTTAATCAACAAACCAACCAACCAAAGCCTCAACTGTAACCGTTTAGATGACCAGAATACAACGGCCTCCCCTGTCCTTCTGATTATGAACCCGAAGTTTAGGAAGAATTTCAGGAAGTTGAAACTTCTCCACCGTACCTTGATTAAAAACATGAAAAGATTTGGAAAATATCTGCTGACACCGAGTTGGCAGTGCACATGCTTTGCAAATCCTGCAATGACTGAAATCTGCATGACAGTTTAGGAAACGGATTTCGATTTCATTGCGCGATTTTGATTTGACTATACATAGACTCGTTAGTCCAGCCAAAATGTAACTACATAATACCAGCCTAGTTCGGCAAGGGTGGAAACTGGACTTTTATATTCAGTTTACACTCTTGCCTCGGGAAGATGGTTGTTACCCTGCCTGGCGCTCGCTGATTTTTACTTATTGTAAGAGGCGACTTGTGGCATTGGGTGACCTGGCTCGCTGACTTGGTTGAAGCATCATTGATCTGATTTTTTACAGACTGACCTCATAACTGATGATGTGACTTTTCCGTCAAACTTCCGGCCAAGAGAACAAGGAAAACTGAACACAAATACATACAAGTCTGTCAGAAAGATAATTTTAATGAACACAATAAATAGTCGACAATGGTTCATATACAGAGACGCGACAGTTTTATGATAAACCCAAGATGACAATCATTCATGAAATTTCAGGATTCAAACCTTTATGTCATCTCTAACACATCATCATGAGAATAACAAATATGCACAAACAATCAGAACACTAGAGCTTTATCAAAAGAATGAAAAAGGAAACACTATTCAATAATAGGACCCGAGAAATAAATTTTAAGAGTTATCTCCCATTTTCAATATTGCAGAAATAACGAATATTAACAAATTGAAATGACTTGAGATCAGTGCAAAAATGGCGTAACATGCCAATCTAATTTGGGATTAGCAGCTTTGCAAACAATGAAATAAGTTAAATACAGTCATGACAAATGGTCCCTTCCTGGGTGCTCAAGCAAGACAAATTATAAATTTCTTCTCCATGCCACAATATTCACCAAAGGGAGATAATTCTTCAATATCCAACCACAAAATGTACACTCTGTATTTTATACACTCTGCAGACTGCACAAATCACAAAACCACCTAGATAAATCCAAGCTGAAATCTCTCATGAAACAACTAAACATTTACACCAAGTTGCCATGGCAACCTCATGACAATCTCTGTACATCCATGAAACCGGTTTAGTGATCAAACTGCACATTTGATCAAATCAAAGGTCATCATGTACACAATGTCTTTTATGGTACATAAACTGATGAAATCTTTACTAAACAACAAAGTTTTAAAATTTGAAGACAGCAAATTTACAGTGTTTCACTACCACATGTAAATTCGCCTTCACATATCAATCATTGTTCACAAACCCTAAAAAAAAAAGAACTTTAGAAACCAAATTTACATGGAGTTATTAAACAAACATTCCCTCACAATGCATACACACAAAATTTGGGACAATCTTTAAGAACTGTATATATATTCATTCTTTTTTACTCAATATCAGTTCATCTTAATCTGTGTACTGTGTGAAGATCATTTCTTAAAGACTGTCCAACCCATCTATACACATTCCAGGCCTCAAGTCTTGGCCAAAACTCCCTTACAAGTCGGCATGAAAATCAAAGATGGCTGACAAGTACAAAAACGATAGGACAGCACAGGTGCACAATGAAGTATATAGGTTTAACAACAGCATCTAATATTATGCTCTACAAACTTGCTAAACCTGGGTGCATCATAGGCAACAGAAAACACAGAGGAAAATTACTACCAAAAATATACAACCTTCCAAAAAACAAACTTCAGTTGTATCAAAAACATGAAATATAATGTATGAAACAATAACTGTAGCGGATACAATTGTCACATGGTGTAGTTCCAGTAAAAATGTATAAAGTTATTTCTCTGAAATATATATATCAAATCCCTACCGCATACAAAGCTCGTACTCAGTTCGATGTTGTTTGTTGGTATACCCGGAGTTAGCTCCCTTGTAAATGATGTTTTAAGTCACTGTAGAGTGTATGTATGGAGAGTCTGTGATAATGAATTCATTGAGGAGCATTACTGACATTTTTTTTACAAACTGACGATATACTTTTCGTATTTTGTAAAATAAATGTATGATTCATAATGAGCGTGTGAATAATGTTAACTCCAGCGTCAGCCATTTTGCAACAAGATTTGGTTTTTAACTACAAAATGGTTTGATGTTCTATTGAAACTATTTGCAAGATGGCATTGCTGACAATGTTGTTTTTTTTCAAGCACACACATTCAATTCTGAGCATTGATATAAACAAATCTCAAAATGCATATGGACAAAATGCAAACAATTACCACAGCAGCAAATGATTTTGTTCGTTTCTCTCTGATATGCTTATATACGTTACAACTTTCACTACTTCTGAGCAAATGCTATACGTGGACTGAAAACAGCAAAACAAAAATCAATGTACTGATTAATGACCCCTTGATTTGAAGGATGGAATAATCTCCTCTCTGATCTGGACTGTACCATTTTCAGCTGGAGGTAATTCGTATGTTAAACATGGCACATTGCAAGTGACTTCAGATGGTTGGCACTTGACAGCAGATGGTAACTTGTTGTCCCGAGGTAGAAAACAGTTCAAGCTGTTGATAGAATAACAATGCATAGTCAGGTCTCGGAATAACTAACATACCTCAGAAGAGAAAATTCAACAACTTTCAGTCCTACACTACCAATAAATAGTCCACAACTTTCTGACGGTTAAAGTGCACCCACACAAGGCAGGAAAGCCACCTACCAATGAATAATGACCTAATAAGGTAATTCATGACAATACTTTTCCAAAATAAATAACACGTTGCTAGTAGTGCATCAAAATATTGATCCTGATCTCCAATTTGCACGCGATAACCTCCACAATCTGCATTCAACGTTGCTCCTAACATGGGTTTCCTTCTTCACAAACCTTAACAATGAAAATCCTGCCTTCTAGACTTCTGCCATTTCAAACAGCGTGTATATGTGTGAAAATAACATTGTTGTAAACGTCTCCTGTGGCAGTGAGTTCTCAAGGGGCACTTTTGGCAACAGAGTATTCTTGTGATGGTATCAACAATGACGGAGGGATGAGATGATCTGGTGTCATTTATTACTGGGAAGCTCAATATGAAGGGTTACATGCAAGATTTGGTGTCTCATACTTGACCAAACAGGCTTCTATGTTTGTGTAAATTCTGATGGTAATGATGTAAGACATGGTGTCACAGAGAAATTTGAGATCGGGTGTCATGTAATACACAAGAGAACACCTGCCTTAGAAAGGACACCTGGTGTCTTACAAGGTGAAGTCACAGACGTGTGTGACACAGGGTGTTGAACACCTACATTCAGACAAGCTGTGGTGTCTAGACTAAGGTGTCCAACACCTGCTTCTGTAGAGGGGCTGATCCAAAATGGACGCCAAGATCCTGTCACATGACCTCAGACAGATGGCCTCGACACCACACAGCTGGGGGGGGGTTACTGGATTCAGACAAAACTGGACATTTAAACTCCCACTGTGTCTCAAGTTCCAATTCGAAAACCTGACTGACAAAAGCCCAGTAAAGAATGTGACAGATTATATATTTTGTTACACAATGGGCTACAGAACATGAAGATACATGACTGTGCTTTTACTTCAGACAGCATTGTTCTCATAGCTTACAATATTTCCTCAATACAATATTTCGCAAGACTGTTTTAAAGTCTTGAAGATGACATGACATATGACTTAATTATTCCTCAAGTTTTACACAGAAGAAATGCTTTCGTTCTACAGAGTAAATGTCCAATCCATCTACAAGACATTAATTGTAAAAACAGCTTCAGATTCTTCTTCTTCTGTAGGTCAGCTTTGGTAACAGTGAAATAATCAATGTATCGCCATATTGCACGACAGTCACCATGAATCACTAGTATATAATAATACACGGACTACATTTGAAACCTGAGTTCAACTTTTCAGCTATTTTTGATATTTTCCACTAATGTGCAGTTTATAGGTGTTTGGCACTAAATCGTCTACACTCCTACAAAGGTAAATTACAGTATAGATTCTAGGTATTAATAAACATAAATATCAAATAAAATGATTGTGTATACTTAGAACAAACATTAAAAGATGTAACTGCAAAAATCACAAAATTTCAACACAAAAATTAGTCAAGTAAAGAGTACTTCAAGATGTAATTTCTAACATTTCCAATGAAAATAAATCTCTCCATGATATGAGATAATGACATGGGATTTCAATCATCAGGCTTAAGACGAAAAGAAATATTGAATTTTTCCCCCATTCACACTTTCCTTCTCACAGAAACTATGAAGATCATATCACAATTATATATTCTTCTGAAATAGCAATCAATACACGTTTATGTATATATGAACAAGCAATATTTTGCGGAAATATATTAGCCACTGAAAAAATCAGCATATTAGAATCTGGTCAAAGGGGAGAGAACTCTATAAATAGTTCTCTTCATGGCCACTAGGGGGTCATCTCACATATTCAACACACATACATCCACCATTTTATAAATCTATAATAAAGTCCAACTAATATTAATCCCAAACTGTACAAACTCCACACTGCAATTGAACACTACAGTGAACAAAGTCTGCCACGTTGGGAAACTACACAAGAGCCCCCTAGTGCTTGAGAAAGGGAGATAACAGTTGATGCAGGAAGTGACCCATTGCCACTTGTGTTCACTTTCAAGAGAAACACTAGTCAAGTGTACAAGAAGACATTGACAGAAGCTGTGACTCCAGCTCATTGATGATACCCCTGAATCGTCTTGAAGAACACCAGACAAATCCAGAGAAAGGTTGGAGCTGGCACTTGTACAGGCAAGGTTACTTCTCAGTTAAACAATCTTCTCCTCTTACCAGAAGTGTGACTCTACTATCGCAGAATGATCTTGATTCACAGATTCAGTGTGTCTCTACCATCGCCGAACGATCTTGATTCACAGATGCAGTGTGTCTCTACTATCGCAGAATGATCTTGATTCACAGATTCAGTGTGTCTCTACCATCGCCAAACGATCTTGATTCACAGATGCTGTGTGTCTCTACTGATGTAGAATGATCTTGATTCACAGATGCAGTGTGTTTCTACTATCGCCGAACGATCTTGATTCACAGATGCTGTGTGTCTCTACTAATGTAGAATGATCTTGATTCACAGATGCAGTGTGAATCTGCTATTGTAGAATGATCTTGATGCACAGATGCTGTGTGAATCTGCTATTGTAGAATGATCTTGATTCACAGATGCAGTGTGAATCTGCTAATGTAGAATGATCTTGATGTACAGATACATTGATTGGAAGAAAAAAGTGACTTCCAGGTTAATTAGGAGTAATGTCTTCGACTAGCTGAAACCATTCCCAGCAATGTCTTTCTTAGCTTCTACTTTGTCCTGTCTCACTGACTGACACCCGGGATGCTCAGATCTAAAGCTTCCTATAGTATATGTATCATTGTCAAGTTATAGAAGTGCATGTATACATGATTCTATTCTATATTCTACCAATGTACCGCCAGATGAGAACTGATGTGTAACAAGTTCTACAGTCTCCCTAGATGAACTAGGCAACATTTTCAGCTAAGCTGGAACACTTAAACTCTTATAATGGGCGATGCATACAGAGAAAACAGAAGTCTTCACATCTGAACCTTCTACAGAAATGCCCAATGAACATAACCATGCAGATATAGAGGGCACATGTTATTGCAGTATTATATTCGTTCTTCATTTTGAATCTCTGTAGAAATGCTTTTCCCCTCTCATCTTCATACATGTGTATCTTAGCTTGGGCTGTCTGTAGACAAGCTTTTCCTTCAGAACAGTTCTTCAGATTATGAATGGTCGACGTGGAATTACAAAAAGTCTCCAGACTCAAACCATTAATATTAATGCATGTCAAATATCAGCAATATTATCCCATGGGATCCCCTGCAGAAACACTGTTCTTCTACGTCTCCGTGTGATTCAGGTTGTCAAGTTGAGAAGAATTCTTGCCGGTCTCTCCACAGAACTGAGATAGAAATGAAAGTTATTGGAATCCAGTAGGCTGGGCAGTGGCTGGTTGGAGCAGATTTGCATAGATGACACTTTGATCCCCTGGGTTTGGCTGTGATGTTGTCGTACACGGCTGCTGCCTAGTGTTGGGCGTGTTCAGCTGGACACCAGAGATAACGATGGTGTTGGAGGGGCCTGCATAGTAGAACAGACAGGGTTAATAACAATATAGGACACTCAATTTATCAGCAATATTCCAGCGATACTAGAGCCTTTGACTTCATCAATCAGGGCCTAAGTGCATTTGAGCAGTTGTTAATTGGAAAATGTGCTGTATAAATTCTTAATTTAAATATTTAATTTTATTTATATGGTGAACTGTAGATAATCAAGCATGAACCAGACAATCAAGAGTGGGTGAGTGAGTGAGCGACTGAGTTGGATTTAACGCTGCATTGAACAGTATTCCTGTTATATCACAGCGTGTCAGTTTGATGTGGGAGGAAAGCCCGAAGTCATGCAGGTCTCAGACGTTTACCACTTTGGTGAAACCAACGAGCAAGGGTATGATGCTGACAAACCTAGAAACATAATCGGGGTGGACCCAATGGTCGTAAATTACTTGCATGCCCAAGGGACCTGTGAAGATCCGGGGTAGAATAGGTCTTCAGCAACCCATGCTTGCCCTAAAAGGGGACTATGGTTGTCGTACGAGGGGACTAACGGGATCGAGTTGTCCGGTTCACTGACTTGGTCGATGCATGTCATCGTATCCCAATTGCGTGGATTGATGCTCATGTTTTCAATCACTGGATTGTCTGGTCCAGACTCGATTATTTACAGACCGCCGTCATATAGCTGGAATATTGCTGAGTGCGGCGTTAAACAACAAACAAACAAACAAGCATGCCCAAGGGATGCAACTCTGTACATCAAATGATGATGACCACAAAGAAGGGCCCAGATGATGCATAAGTAATTTTGGCGATTTTACAACCAACAAGTTTATAAATATCCAGACATTCACCCGAGTGCTACTTACAGTGTGCAGTTGGAATTTATCATAGATTTCAGTGAGATCTTCAATAAGAAATTGGTTGAGGACGACGATTCCCTCGAGTGCAGGGCTGGTCTTGTACACACAGTCTTGACAGTGGACAACAAACTTCCTGTCTTGCTCAGTCACAAACAAGATATCGAACACTTCAATCTGGAATACAAAGAAAATAGTCTTAGCATATCTGCATCAGTTTTGACAAAACAAGACATGCCAGGGGCATTTTGGACGTGTTTTTTTCTGATTCCTATATCAACATACCATTTGTCCATTTCGCCGAAGTCAAGTATGTTCCACTCAATTCAATCAATATATATTTCAAGCTGCCACTCTCAAATAGTATCAGATATTAGAGAAACACATTCTTTATAACAAACTAAATGTGCAACTAAAACAAAGAATTATTTGAAAAAAATAGAAATTTTGACCCACCCCCACCCCAAAGACCCTCGCCCGTATTATAAAGTGCCAATCCCTAAATAATGTTCAAAACAAATTATATATATCAAAAACATCCCGCCCCTAGTTCTGATGAATCCCACCCCACCCCACTCTTTCGCTACGTCATTTTTTAATGACAACTACAATAACTGACGAATCCCTTAAAGCCCCTATCTCACATTCACGAATCTGAACACGAATGAACATGATTTAACGTTTTTCCTTATATCGTGTTAGAATGTATGAAGGTCGTGCACTCATTCGTGTTCATTCGTGTTAAGTCGTGGTCGGTCGCGCACGATCGTATGGACGTCGCAGCTCGGCTTAAATCGTGTTCAGTCGTATGAAGGTTGTATAAAGGTCGTATGACAGTCGTGTTCAATCGTATGAAGATCGTGTTCAGTCGCGTTCAGTTGTGTGGGGAGCGTGGGAAGAAACTCATACGACCTTCATACGTTTTAACACGATTCAACACGACTTTCATACGCCTTTAATACGACTCCCATACGCTTGAACATGAAATCCATACGTTTGTCATACGACCGGAAGAGCCCATCCTATAATTGCAAATGGCAGGGGTTGATCATCGTTTGGAAGGGGTTGTGGTTCTGGAAAACCTGCAGTGCCTTGGTCCAGTGCCTGATAGATGTCGCAGTCCTTGAAGATACCACCATCTGAGCAACTACCATTTCCCCCAATGTCAACAAACAGAAACTTGTATGCAGCGTCAACTATTGCGAGGAGTATGATAGAGTAGAAACCCTTATAGTTATAATAGAAAGAGCCTGAATTTCGTGGACATTTTATAGCTACATGTTTTCCATCTATTGCACCAAGAGAGTTGAAAGTTCCATCTCCTTGAAAACTCATCAGCCACCTTCTTCCAAGCCTCTTTGGTTTTTGGTGTCGGCATGACCTCTTCTGTGTACTGTGTTTCGTAGACAATCGTAGAGATGGTATTAGCAGCCACTCTACAACCATATTGAAGTGATCGGTAGGAGTCTCCAGTGGCCATATAACGCAGTGTTACAGCTAGGCGAAGCCCAGGCTCTAGGGCTTTTCTCCAGAAGGTGTCCTTTTTTTCAATACGAGGACCAACGCATTCTACTAGTTCCATGAACATCTCCGGAGTGACACGCAAGAAGTTGGTAAATGTATTCACATCTTCACGATACAGTTCTTGCATTAGTTGTTCATACTGCCCATACAGAAGTCTCCTAAACAACCATGGTTGAACCCAGAATCTCTTCCTCACTCTTTGACGCCTACGCTGCCTCCTACCTCTCACCATCAAAGCCATAGCTACCAGAAGTACTTCCTCCTCCTCCAAAGCTGCTTCTTGTGGGTCTTACTCGTTGTTGAACATGGTGAAGACTGACACAGAAATGCTGTTGCAATGCAACTTATATACTACATGACCCACGTGACCAAAATAAACAAAAATATGTCGTATGAAGGACTTGCTCACTCGTAAGGAGATCGTGTTTATTTTTGTAGTCGTATGGACATCGTAATGATTCGGGTTATTCCGTAATGGCGGTCGTGTTGATTCGTGTTAAGTCGTATGGGCGTCGTATTGGGGTTGTGTTTGGTCGTATGACAGTCGTATTGGGGTCGTGTTAAATGAGGTTTAATCGTGTTGTATCGTATGAATATCTTATGACGGTCGTATGAGTGTCGTGTTCAGTCGTGTTCAGTCGTATGAGGGCCGTTTTTGGTCGTATGAGGGTCGTGTTTGGTTAAGAAATTTGCATTAAACCACAAGGTCGAGCACGAATCAACACGATTTTTCAACTTTTCTTAAATCGTGTTCGCAATTTCTTAAATCGTGTATGTGAGATAGGGGCCTAAGGCAGTAGGTTAGTGATGCAGGTCTTAGACATTTACAACTTGGTGAAACCTACAAGTATAGTGCAGAGAGAAAAAGAATCACAATTTTACATGAAACTGGGATATGATCACGTCTACGAACACAACTGTGCACAGTGATTTGCCCCTGGTGGCTATAATCGTGTCTGTGTTGGGGCTTACCTCGCAGTCATTGCAGTAGTGGGCAGTTTCATCCTTAGATCGGCCATGCCACTTCACCTCCTTCCCCAACACTTCCAGCGTGTCGTACGTCATCTGTATCTGGCGAAGTGACCTCAACAAACTCCATCTGCAACATCAGTGAAAACAATGTTAACCAGTTTTCAGGTTCTGAGCCAGAACGAATTTGAGTGTGAATGCTACCTATATTCCAGCTTTATCATGTGGGATTGTAAATAGCTGCGTTTGGACCAGGCTTAAAGTGACTGCTCCCCTTTGAGTCACGAATAAAGATACTTCTTTTACCGATTTTGCTAACATCTTTTGGTATTACGAGACCAGGGATCGAACCCCTTACTTCTGCTCCCCGGTTGGACACTCTACCACTAGACCACAGAGGCGATCATTTTTTGCTAAAGATAATCAGCATTGATGTGTCATAAATGTTGTACAAATAACAACAATTTGTATATGACATATTTAATATCTTAGTAAGCATACTCCATCAGTCTCCACGCCCAAAATAAATCCAAAATTCTGCAGTCAATTTTTGTAAATTCTGCAATCAATTTTGATAAATATGTACACAATTCTGCAAATTTTTAAGTTAAGTTTTCATGAATTTCGTAGTTTGGCACCTTATTGACTTATGGCAGGTATTTTTATGATGAACTTATTCACGGCTAGAATAGCTTATAGAAGTGAATCTGGAATTCACTAGTTTCAACATTCAGACATGCATTTTCAGTAAGCAATAATACAAATACTCCAAAACGACATCAATATCTGTTCACACACTTAAAAGCAGCTTTCGCCTCACATGTTAAAATTCTGTAGTACCGGTAGATAAATGCAAAATTCGAGTTCAGCATAAAATGTGATTTTCTGCAAGATAGGTATATTTCTGCGACAAGTGGGCATTTCTCCAAAATATTCCACGACCACGGAATGGCAGGGACTGCACCATTACGTTCCAAAATAAAATTAACACGCTACCATGATAATATAGTGTACCATGGAAGCAGTAGTCATTTGGTGGGAGGGATTTCCAGAATAACAGAACAGAATGCTTAACAGTAGTTATACATGTGACCAGTAGAAATACTTTGTCAATCTGAAACATACCTGATTTGTTCGTACAACTTGACATCAGTCATGCCAACATTCATGGCCAGGTTCCATGACAGATGCACCATGGGAACTATTGACTTATAGCTCTGCAGCTTGTTCCACTCGTATCTCTCAATACCCAGCTGGAACTGTCGAGCGGTCAGCGGACCCACGTTCCAGGCAATGTTGTTGCACCAACCCTGAACACAGAATAGTTCTCATTGATTCAAAACTGTTCAATACAGCAACATTATTCTGCTGGAACCCGTTCCACAAAGTGATCGTAGTCGTAACTCCTATACTTTATCAAAGGCTTACTAACAACGTAGCACTAAGATTGCATTTTGGAATGGGGCCCTCTTATTTATTTTGTGGAGCAAAGCATGAAATATGTGTTACAGATCAAATATTTGTTGGATGCATTTTAGAAGATGTAGTATCAATGAAGACAGAGGTGATGTATGGATTTCAACTTCATTATAAACATTTTGGTACAGATGCTGGGACCTGGGTGGGTGGGTGGGTGGGTGGGTGGGTGGGTGAGTGAGTGAGTGAGTGAGTGAGTGAGTGGGTGGGTGGGTGGGTGGGTGGGTGGGTGAGTGAGTGAGTGAGTGAGTGAGTGAGTGAGTGAGTGAGTGAGTGAGCGTGGTTTTAAGCCATTTTTGCAATATTCTAGCAATATCACAGCGGGGGACACCAGAAATGGTCTTCACACATTGTACCATGTGGGAATCGAACCCGGGCCTACGGTGTGATGAGCGAACGCTTTACCCACTTGGCTATTCCACCGCTCCTCCACATTAAAAGAACAAAGGCTTTGTAAACTGTCTTCATTGAAATAAGCTCAAGTCAACTCTTGGGCATCATCAGAAACCTGACAGGTGCTCACCTGGGTCAAAACACCAGAACCAAACAAACACCCAGACAATAGATTCTTCTATCCCTTTTACCTATACTACTCAACATTTGCTAAGGACCATAATCATCATCTCTAGTTAAAGGCGTGGTCCTTGCTTAACAAATGTTGGGTAGTATATTACAGTGCAGTGTTTTTCTTTTGCAGTACACAGCAAGGACTGCTTTCGATAAATGTTAGGTATTATGACATCTGTAAATTTACATCCAATCTAATTAAAGTCAGATCTTAGTTCTCGCTATCGCTAAACAAAGATCTGAGGACATCCCATTACGGGTCACATCAGAATGACTTTTCATCCGACCAATCAGAGCGTGGCTTACCAGATCATGAAAGTGACAGACGGAATGTTTTTTCTGATCATGCAACCTCAAAATATTTAACAGAGGGTATTCCAAACGACAGTTACGGGTTTTATGATTATATCCATACATAATAACCCATCTTTAAGCCATTCAAGAATGTTCTTTTTATCAGTTTTAAATTTTTTAACCGAGAATACGTAAAAAAATGTTAGTCATTTCATTGATCGGTCAAAATTCGCGAGAGGTCGTTCTGACGTGACCCGTAATGGGATATTCTCAGATCTTTGTTTAGCGGTAGTTTTAATGAGATTGATTTACATCCAACAAAAGCAGAACCAAAACCAGAAAAATCATAAAGAACTCAAGTTGTTGTCTAACTACTCACAATTGCCTGCACCCAGTGTACAGTGCCCGGGCCGATCCAGACGAGGTCCCCCGGTTTCTGAATGAACCTGTACACCGGGACGTCCTCCTCATACAGGTCCTCCAGAACAGGCCACCACGACCCCGTCAAATAGTTCACACTATTCCTGCAACAGACATAATGTCACTTTAATCAGTGGTCCTGTCTTATTGAGTTGTATTTATACATTATCATTATTCCATGGTCTTGTCTTATTGAGTGTTATTTATACATTATCATTATTCCACGGTCTTGTCTTATTAAGTGGTATTTATACATTATCATTATTCCACGGTCTTGTCTTATTAAGTGGTATTTATACATTAGCATTATTCCACGGTCTTGTCTTATTGAGTGGTATTTATACATTATCATTATTCCACGGTCTTGTCTTATTGAGTGGTATTTATACATTATCATTATTCCATGGTCTTGTCTTATTGAGTGGTATTTATACATTATCATTATTCCATGGTCTTGTCTTATTGAGTGGCATTTATACATTATCATTATTCCACGGTCTTGTCTTATTGAGTGGTATTTATACATTATCATTATTCCATGGTCTTGTCTTATTGAGTGGCATTTATACATTATCATTATTCCACGGTCTTGTCTTATTGAGAGATCTTGATTTATTTGGTGGTCTTGTTTGAATCCACAGTCATGTTATAATCATTGATCTTGTTTATTCAGTGGTCTTATTTTATTGAACAGTCTTGTTTTCTTCAGTGGTCTTGTTTTATTGAACAGTCTTGTTTTATTCAGTGGTCTTGTTTTATTGAATAGTATTTTTACGTTCAAGGACATTGTCTTAATCAGTGGTCTTGTGTTATTGAGTGGAAGATTTACATTACATATATTCGGTGGTATTGTCTGACCAATGGTAATCCAGAAGCCTTGTTTTATACAAAAGTCTTGTTTTATTCATGAATTGTGTAACCTATAGTATTCCAACGGCATTGTTTTATACAAAAGTCTTGTTTTTTTCAGGAATTGTGTAACCAATAGTATTCCAACGGCATTGTTTTATACAAAAGTCTTGTTTTTTTCAGGAATTGTCTAACCAAAGGTATTCCAACAGCATTGTTTTATACAAAAGTCTTGTTTTATTCATGAATTGTGTAACCAATAGTATTCCAACGGCATTGTTTTATACAAAAGTCTTGTTTTTTTCAGGAATTGTCTAACCAAAGGTATTCCAACAGCATTGTTTTATACAAAAGTCTTGTTTTATTCATGAATTGTGTAACCAATAGTATTCCAATGGCATTGTTTCATACAACAGTCTTGTTTTATTCGGTGGTACTGTCTAACCGTGGTATTCGAATGGCAATGTTTTATACAACAGACTTGTTTTATTTGATGGTATTGTCTGACCAATGGTACTCCAATGGCACTGTTTTATTCCACTCACTTTTCACACAGGTTGTATATGACTCCCCAGTACTGATCGGGAACAGCAAACCACTCACAGTCCCCGGGACCGATGTTGATGTTCACCGAGCAGAAGTTGTTGTTCTCCTGATGGCCTGGACAACAAGGAAAATACGGATGTTGAGAATCGGCATAACGTACAGATGCATTAACTACTGTAAATAAACTTGGGCTTGAAAATATTCATAATATCCTTGGACTAATAACTGAACTTGTAAGAACATTCAAAAGCTTCCACAAAATATTCTTTATACTTAGTACTGCTATCTGGGAGCATGTGTGGCCAAGTAGTCAAAGGCACCACAAGTCGCTGTGCAGAGTTGTGTCCCTTGGGCATGCTAGAAAACTATGATCGTGGGTTCAAATTCCAGTTTACCCTGATTATGTTTCAAGGTTTGTCAGCTTCATACCCGTGCTTGTGGGTTTCACCAAAGAAGGAAACGTCTTAGACCTGTATCACATCAGGCTTTCAAAGACGCATCAAAACAACTCACTAACTACCAGTGGTATCCAAAGAAAGGTTGAAATGGTTAAAGATTCATTACTTTCAACAGCAGCAGTGAGCCCTCTTCATCAGCCACAATGGGTCATTTGTTCAGGATCCTTCTGGACATCGGCCACAAAGGGTCATTTGTTCAGGATCCTTCTGGACATCGGCCACAATGGGTCATTTGTTCAGGATCCTTCTGGACATCAGCCACAAAGGGTCATTTGTTCAGGATCCTTCTGGACATCGGCCACAATGGGTCATTTGTTCAGGATCCTGGACATCGGCCACAATGGGTCATTTGTTCAGGATCCTTCTGAACATCAGCCACAATGGGTCATTTGTTCAGGATCCTTCTGGACATCGGCCACAATGGGTCATTTGTTCAGGATCCTTCTGGACATCGGCCACAATGGGTCATTTGTTCAGGATCTTTCTGGACATCAGCCACAATGGGTCATTTGTTCAGGATCCTTCTGGACATCGGCCACAATGGGTCATTTGTTCAGGATCCTTCTGGACATCAGCCACAATGGGTCATTTGTTCAGGATCCTTCTGGACATCAGCCACAATGGGTCATTTGTTCAGGATCCTTCTGGACATCAGCCACTATGGGTCATTTGTTCAGGATCTTTCTGGACATCAGCCACAATGGGTCATTTGTTCAGGATCTTTCTGGACATCAGCCACAATGGGTCATTTGTTCAGGATCCTTCTGAACATCAGCCACAAAGGGTCATTTGTTCAGGATCTTTCTGGACATCAGCCACAAAGGGTCATTTGTTCAGGATCCTTCTGAACATCAGCCACAATGTGTCATTTGTTCAGGATCCTTCTGGACATCAGCCACAAAGGGTCATTTGTTCATGATCCTTCTGGACAATGTTGCAGCCCTACCAACCACTACTCATGTTGGTCATTCTTAATGTTCTAGTAGTTATCTTGCCCTTACCTGGCGTCCTTGATCCTGGCACCTTCATATACAGCTGTACTGTATTCATTCCGAGAATGGTGTGTCCCACGTGACTCAGCATGTTTCCGGCTGAAACAACTCTCGTGAACGAGGGCAATTTGGTCAGCTCGTGTAGTTGCAGCTTCCACTTTTTCTCGTCTGACAAGTCGACGTTTGTCCCGAACTTAATGATTTTCAATTTTTTCCTGTAGAATAAAACATGTCAAGAAGGTTATGACTGATTGATCGATCACTATGATCATATCACTGCAGCCTCTAAATAACCAAGTCCGGGCAATGGAAACCTCCAGTGGACAAAATGGACAATCTACGCCATCCCAGCACAGTAAAGCACAATCAGCAGAGTCACATAATTTATCAAACCTACTCTGCCCTAATAGCCCAACCAAACCTAAAACAACTGAGAAAGTTAATATCAATCACAAGGCTGCCCACTACCAAAGATTTAGGAAGAATAGCTCATTAAAGTACAAGACGAATTTAAGGCATGATGATGCTAATGCTGTATCAGCAACTTTAGGACACAAATCTGTAATGTGACAGGCCCAACAGACATGGCCAGAGAAGCTACAACCTACCCCTTAGAGGATGAGGATGAGTTGGAGTCACTGTCAGAATCCTTCTCCTTGTGCTGACCTTTCGCCTTCTCAGCCTCTTCCTGAAACAAATAACAGTAGTGAGAAAGGTCGTCCATTGCATCAAGTGTGTAGCTGATCTTATCGCTTAGGTGATCATTTATTTGTTTGTTGCTGAACGCCACACTCAGTAATTTTTCAGCTATAAGATGGTGGTTTGTAAAGCAAGTCTTAACCACACAATCCAGTGATTGGTATCATGAGCATCGATCTACACTATTGGGTCGACCAAGTCGGCGAGACTGACCACCCGATCCCGTTAGTCGCCTCTTATGACAAGCATAGTCTCCTTTTATGGCAGGCATGGGCTGCTGAAGACCTATTCTAACCCTCAACCTCACAGGGGACAAGTATGGGTTGCTGAAGACCAATTCTAACCCCAAACTTCATGGGTCTTTGGTGACCGTAACTAACATACTTCAACAGAGGCCTACGATTGTTGTAGTGGTAAAAAAAATCTTTGTGGAACGGGACCGTCGAATGGACAGTGTAATCCTCAACAATAATCCTTTCATCGAGTAGACTAAGATACCTTCTATCTACGTCCAGCAATAATGTGCACCATAGTAACTGATCCTGGTATGCCCACAGGATGCACCTCTGCACCATGAGTGTGACAAGTGGGCTCTTAGCCATTATGAATTATGGGCAAACCGTATAACTAGTGCGAGTTTCTACTGCTGCTGGTGTCAGTTCTGACCTTGAGTGACTCCTGGAATGAGGAGGCCTGGTACTGGGCGTACTTGGCGACGGTCGTGTGACTCCGGCTGCTGTCACAGTGCCAGACCTTGTTGCCCCAGCTGTCCCGGTTCTCGTCCGGAGCCTGCTGCTTCTGTTGACAGGACAGACATTCAACAATAAGTGAATGATTCTGTGTCGTTTGATTGGCTACCAAAGTCATTATTTTTGTGCTTATTGTTCCATAAACCAATAATGAATTAGGCCACGCCTACTAAGGGACTGCTGTTATCTGATTGGCTGATAATACAATAGGTGGTTGCATTATTACACTGAATGTCATAGATGTTCTATTGTTGCCTACAGTAACTTTTGTGCTCTGAACAAAATAAAAAGACTAGAATGTGTTATTCCTCAAAAACATGTTTTGCCACCATCCTGTTTTGATACCTTAGTTCAAGTTGTAGCTATAAATGTGTTTGCAAATCAAAAATACAATAGTAGCAAATTATAGGCTGGAAGGATAATGGTTTCATGCAGAAATATTCATTAGCTTTAGACAAATGTTACGTGTCCAAATTGTTCCCATGGAAACAGGAAATTAAAAACATTGAAAAAAATAGGCAATAGTTGAGCATGTGTGGTCACTGCACATGTATAGTTTCATGCAAAAACATTCATTAGTTTGAGAGTTATGGAAATGAACGTAACAAAATCAAATTGAGAAAAAAATTCAAAATAGCAAAAGGCACCAGTTACACTGATGATCAATGCGTGTGCCACATAATATGGAAAAATAATGAAAGGTTTACCAGTTATGGAAGAGAAAAAAAAACTAACCTCATCTCAGACTAAGAAAAATTGTTTCCATGGAAACAAAAATATACATTATGATGACGCATGCCAACTTTTGTTGAAAAACATTGAACGGTTTATCGCTAGCAATATGATGTGAACGCCAATTGGAACCAAGCCAAAAATAATATGTCTCCCCTCCCTTTGGGGGAATACATAATTCTCTTCCCAATTTGCCAGCTAAGGGCTCATAGTTTGAAATCCTAAAATCCCTGGGAGAAGACCTTAGGGAGCCCCCTTAAATTAACACTGAATGCTCTTTTAAAAACTTGTACCGGTGATGAAACTACCCACAGTGCAACACGTGACAAGAACTGAGATGTGCGTACCTGTGTGCGAACTTCAACACGATGATCAGCATTGGCTTCCACCAGAGTTTTTGTCGAAAATAAACCTAAATCTGAAAACAAGAAACACTGAGTTAGTAATACAACATATTCAAGTTCTGTGAGCAAATGTGGGATATACCAATGCTGAAAAGGAGTCCGGGATGGGGGATGGGGGGACACGGGTGTCCGGGATTTTTTTTAAACAATAATATGGCCAACAGGTTTTACAAATGAACACTTATCCTTTCTGGGGACACCAGAAATGGGCTTCACACATTATACCCATGTCGGGATTCGAACCTGGGTCTTCAGGTGATGAGCAAACGCTTTAACCACTTGGCTATCCGACTGCCCCACTTACTGTACTGATTGAACTACACAGTGGCAAGTGTTACCCACCTAATTTCAGGGCTCCAGCTAACCCTCGTATAACTACAACTGGCTGAGAATGGCAGTACTGCTGAAGCTCTGGGGAAAAGGCGTCACGCTTGCTCTCAAGCTGAAACAGTGACATAACAATATAATAAATACAATACAGTATATGGCATGACAGATTAACTATGGTAATAGGAAAGAATCGTGTGGTCCTTTACTTCTTTTGAGTAGAATATGTCAGTCTAAAAATGCCTATTTGTTAAATATTCAATTCAAAAAGAATTGGCAGAAAAAATTCAAGGCATACATTGTTGAATGACGTCACTGCATTCTAGAGTGTCAACGTTTATTTCACTGTGCATGTAACCTAAAATAAGACTTAGAGTGTTATTAAATGTTTGACAAATGGGTATTTAAACATTTGTAACCAATATAAAGTCTAAATACTCACTCCAGAACAGGAAAACACATCCTAAAAGCATCTCATATAAAGACATAAAAGGGAGGTAACTCCTATGTACAGTTTGAAAAGGGAAATAACTCACATATACGCTGGGTGTAGGTGGGTTGAGACTCTCCTTAGGAAGAGTAGGATAAGGAGGTGTTGGCGGATGTGGTGGTGGACACAGATCGGAGTAGTACCCTTTCTTACCTAGACGGACAAAAGAATATTCATAATCATAAACATCACTGATGTACAGACAACGATCCACGCCACTAGTGTATGACGACAGGCTATCAACCAAGACAAAGCCTGATCACCTAATCCATTTGGTCACCTCTGATGACAAGCATAGGTATCTGAGGACCTATTCTGACACGGTTTAATGAGTCACTGCAGCAATTATTTTTTTTTATTGTGGCTTTGACATGTGGAATGTTATAATGGTATCTTCAGTAGATTAGGATGGGAAATGGCTTTAAATTTCACCGCACTCTCCTGCCCAAAGTTCCATGTTACCAGCATAGAACTTCTGTCAAAATTTACACAGTCCATCCAAGATATTGCATATGTTTTTCATCTGTTTCTTTTTTGACAAGTTTACATATCTAGATAAATTGAGAAAATATCCTTATTAAATCGTGAAAAACTATTTCCATTTGCTTAGTTATCCTAGGTTTACATTTGTTGTACGGTTCCACGTGCTGTCACCGAAGCCCAACGGAGAGCTAGCGATACAGTCACTTTGATGTGTAAATACGTATTGTCATGCAACTCATTGTCGCAGTTGTAGTAGCATATTTATATAATTATGCAAAACAATATGTAAGGCTATTCTATTCTGATTTCTGAAAAAGTGTGTTTGTTTACAAACAAGAGAAAAGACGTGTCACGTATTATACAAATTAGCCTGTGGCAGTGGTGTTATGCTATGTTACCACTGCGCCGGAGAGTGAGGTGATTATTGCACTTATATAGCTGCGTGCATGTACGTGTGTGTGTTTGTGTGGCTGCTTGTACTAGTCCGGACTGATGCCGATTAAAGTGCTAGCCCACTGAGATACCATGCCGCAGTTTAACCTGAACACCCCACTCAGACACAGTATACTGACTCCGAGCCGACCAGTCCTTGTTTTAGACCCTTAATGCCGAGCGCCAGACAGGGTAACAACAAGTACCATCTTTTAACGTCTTTTGGTATGACGCGTCCGGGGATCAAACCCCGAACCTTCCGCTCTCCGAGTGGACGCTCTACCACTAGACCACAGTGGTGGTCACCGGAGAGTGAGTCCACGCTAACAGGCTGACCAATGGACAAGATGAAAGCCTCTAACATACGCCAACATTTGCTATGTGATGGTGGGTTTAAAACAAGTACCCTTCCTGGAAATGATTGGTTATTTTTGCTTGCCATAATAGTTGACACCTGCAATCCAGTTTGTAATGGGAAATTGAGGATTACCATTATTTCAAGTTATTTATTTTCAAAACAATTTTTCAACACCGAAACACTAATGTACGGAAAATGATCACCCTCCCCTCAAGCTTGCCATATTAGGGGTTGACCCTCCCCATTTCCCCGTACATAACTTACATGAAACTTCACAAAAAGACAAATTGCAAAAACTTTTTATATTCTATTACAAAAATGTCAGGTTTTTTATAACCCTCCCCAAATATGACTATTATTTTTTATGACCCTCCCTGGAGTCAGTCATATTTTTGGGTGACCCGCCCACCAATATAATAAATGACCGGTCCCTATCATGCACCAACAAGTCATCATCAAAATTCATCATTTCACAAGGCAATAATAAGGAATTTTATTCTCCTATAAATGTTCAGTTAAGGTAGTGAACTATTTCTTTATGAAGTGATGTTAAGGTCCAGTCAAACACGGTTGTGTCACACTTTGACGTGTCGAACATACAGTTGTCTCGAAGTAAAAGCTTGGTCTCTGTGTATTCCTTCTTTTTAATAATTCCCTCAGATGTATTTCCTATTTCGTTTAATCTCAGGTTAAGTTTTATATGAGCTTGTGATGTGGAAGTGAAATATGAGAGCTGTTTTCATTTATTACGTGTATGTATTTTAAACTTTGAATACTACTTAAATGTATACATACTTTGTATGTTAATTAATTCACCTGACGCCGATGCCATTTTTGCCAATAATGATTAACACTAAAAGTAATGTTCCACAATTATTTATTTAGTTTGTTTGTTGAAGATATTTCATGTTATTCATTCCAATAGGTAAATGTTAATTTTGTAGTTGTGTCGACCTCAGATAACTTGAAGTATTTATGTAGGTCACTTCATCTTCGACACAACAGTCTTTGACTGTATGTGTTTATGACTGCATCTCCAAATATCAATCAATCATTCAAACTATTTCCAATTCAAGAAAGTTTTTGTTTGTTTTCTTTGTTTGTTTGTTGTTTAACGCCTCAATCAGCAATATTCTAGCTATATGCAGCGGTCTGCAAATAATCGAGTCTGGACCAGACAATCCAGTGATCGACGTCATGCACATCGATCCACACAATTGGGATCGATGACATACATCAACCAAGTCAGCCTGCCTGACCACTCGATCCCGTTAGTCGCCTCTAACAAGCAGAGTCGCCTTTTACAGCAAGCATGGGTTGCTGAAGACCTATTCTACCCAGGATTTTCACAGGTCTCAAGAAAGTAACGACTTACCTAGCCCTTTGGATGCATCAACTATTTCACGCCCGCACATATTTATTGACAATGTGGGCATGGGTTTCTCATCCTTCTTCTGCACACACGGCTCAGTTTTTTCAATTTTCAAAAGTGAACTGTACTCTAACGCAGCAATGACTCTGTCCTTATCTGTCGATATGCCTTGAAGCAAGTCTTTCTGCTTATTGCTTCCTGTTTGAGCAGATCCCTGAGAGGAGGTCGAGGAATGTAGAGATAAAGCACTGTTGGTAGGTGACACACCACTTTCTGATGACATCACACGATCGGCAGGCATGCTGCGCACTCCACCGTTGTCCCGATTCTGATGCGGGCCTGCAATGATCTGTGGCGAGGGCCCTATAACAGGCTGCTTGGGTTGCAGCGACATTGAGGGAATGGGCTGCTGACTAGAACCACTAAGTCTACTAGGTCCCTTTGCGGCCTGGTCATGGCCTTGAGATATCTGAGCAAGAAGGTCCTCAGCCAGGGAGGTAGCAATGTCCTGGCGAGAGAGGAGAGCAGTAAGATCCTGATCACTCAAGCTGGCTGCTGCGGTTTGAAGGTCTTTAGACCCTGGATCTGAGATCAATGGTGTAAAGTTCTGATGGGGTACATTCCCGCCCTGACCCGGGAAGCCAGGCTGCAGTCGGTGATGAGGTGGCTGGTTTGATGTCGGAGGCAGGGGTCCGGCACCATAACCCTGAGACGATGGTGTGATTGTGTTCATTGGAATGTTGCTGTGCGGGGTAGGAAGAGGTAGATTCCCACCAGGCAGAGGCAACCCTGGCCTCATACCTGGAAGGTGACCTTGACCTGGAAGGTGACCTTGACCTGGGAGATGACCTTGACCTGGCATATGACTTTTCATTCCTGATCCGTGCTGTCCAGGAATTCCTTGGGGATTTGGTCCACCTGCATAACGCATTAAATATTCAAGATTACTTCTTGGAGGTGGATCAGCATATCCAGAGGAAGAGTTTAGATAAGCACTAGGCATTCCAGTTCTACTACTAACAGAGTCTACGTGTTTAGTGGCGTGCAGAGAGAAAGGCAAAGAGGGTGCAGCACTACTAAGAGGCGGGCTGTGCACCGAGGGTGGTGGTGGCCCGTCCAACAGTGGAGAGAACGTCGGAGCACCGGGACAGAGGGGTCCAGGCGGTCCTGCGCGAGGTCCGAGAATGTTACCTGGCGGCATAACGCCCCCTGTTGGCGAGAGTTGGGACTGCAGAGGATTATGCTGGTTTGGCATATGACCCTGTGGAGGCTGCATTCTCATTGGTGGCATCTGATTTCCCTGCACACAGAAACAGGAAATAGTCACATTTCAATCCTGTGTCTGCAGAGCTACAGATAAGCTGCGTAGTTGCCTAAAATACCCCCCATAACTATTCAAAACCCAATTACTTTCAATTAACCTGCATACAGATACACATGCATTAAATGAAAAACTCAATTGTTTTAAAACAGTACACGTAAATACCCATTGAAGCATGCGTACAACAGAGCCATTTTACTTTCTGAGCCAAGCTAATATTTAGAACCATTATATACATCGTAACATTATTTCATTTTCTTAAAATCTCCAAATGCTTACTCATTTTGGGAAAACCCAAAAGAGTGATGAATAGATGAGTGAAAAAATATTGGTAACCCAATAAAAAATATAAAAACCCACTTAAAATAGAAACCTTCAAGTAAAAACTCAATTCCTAAGAAAGTAATCTGGAGCTCTAGTCTGTTACTCTAACCGAAAAATATCAAGACATTAGGAAAGGTAACAAAAATAATTTTTATCAGTATTAAAAAAAAATAAAATAAATAAATAAATAAAAATAACCATCTTAGGAACTAATTTTGTTTTCTCCTTCAGCCCATCATGAACTCTCATTCCTGGAGCCTCGTGAAGATCACAAATGATTAGATTACCTCTAAACCATTGGTTGACTTAAGTATTTAACAAAACTTCCAAGTGATGATATTATTACTGATATATCCACAAGCCTATGACACACACAGATTCTTACGAATTTATCCACTTTGATTTGATACTATGAGAAGTACACGTGGTGGACAAAGTTTTACTCCGCAGAGCTCCTGCTGTGAGTGACTGAGTGAGTAATCATTGCTTAATGCCGCATCAGCAATCTTGCAGCTATTCGTTGCGATCCTGCTGTGAATTATGCCTCATGTTTGTATGTTGAGAGAGTGAGTGAGTATGGTTTTATTCTGCTTTTAGCAATATTCCAGTAATATATCACGGCGGAGGACACCAGAAATGGGCTTCACACATTGTACCCATGTCGGGAATCGAACCCGGGTCTCGGCGTGACGAGCGAACGCTTTAACCACTAGGCTACCCGACCGCCCCGTTTGTATGATGAGTATTCACCTGTGTCTGCAGTGAGGCCTGCATCTTGAGGTGCTGCTGCTGCAGGTAATACTGATGTTGGAGCTGGTGGAACATCTGCTGCTGCTGCGGAGTCAGGTTACCCTGCAACACGACGGTCACGTGGTTAGTCATGCATGGTACGCCTCCTCCAACACTACCTGGGACTTGTCTACCTATTTGAGGTCAGTCTCTTGTCCCCAATGCGATCTTTGGACTATGACTGTTGTATGCTAAAGTATGGGAGTTATAGTTCTCTTACAATTATGATTGCTTTATGACAGGCTTATGGGGGCTTCCAGAAGTCTGATGGTCCTGAATATGGTTTTATGCAGTTTTAACAATATTCCAGCAATATCATGGTGGGGGATATCAGAAATGGGCTTGATAAATTGTACCCACGGGTGGAACTAAACTTGCGTGACGAGCGGACGCTTTAGCCACTAGACTATCCCACAGTACCCGAAAAAGAATGGGCTTGACAAATTGTACCCACGTGTGGAACTAAACTGGTGTCTTCGGCGTGACGAGCGGACGCTTTAGCCACTAGGCTATCCGACAGTACCCCCAAAAAGACATGAAACCTGGGTCCTATAATGACCACTGCATATCAACAATACATCAAATAGGTACAGAGGAGCCTTATTTCAATATAAGATGAGGATTTGTTTGAATCAAAACATTTTGATTGAGTGAAGAATATTATATTTAATTTATTATCAGAATAGGAATATCAGTTAAATCTCATGTGCATGCTTCAACTATATCAGTTTCAAAGAGTCAAACAGCCATCCTCATAATATCTCATGGGATTCACTGTGGTCGCATCCAGTCTCAATTTGTATACACATGACACAATAGTTCGCAGGTGATGGGTGAGTATGGTTTAACACCGCTTTTAGCAATATTCAAGCAACTTCATGGCGAGGGACACTGGAAAATGGGTGAATGAGTATTGTTTTACGCCGCTTTTAGCAATATTCCAGCAATATCACGGCGGGGGACACCGGAAATGGGCTTCACACATTGTACCCTTGTCGGGAATTGAACCCGGGTCTTCGGTGTGACGAGTGAACGCTTTAACCACTAGGCTACCCGACCGCCCCCACTGGAAAATGGGCTTCACATTCACCATGCCCTAGCATGTGATGGACCATAGAATCAATGCAATCTCAGCACTGCAGAGCTGTAGCAAGTTGAGATTAGGCCTTTTCTGAATAATTGGCTTACGGATCCTCCGACCCAAAATACTGACAAAATGAGGGGGAAATAAAAATAACCATTTAAAACATAAAATATTAATCACTGCCAACCCCCCAAAACTTTGGTATCAGAACAAAAAACAAATATTTCTAGAATCTTGCAAAACTATAACAAGACTGTGCCATCATAAGGCAACCCTTCTGCAATAACTTACACGATAATGCAGTGTTGACACTGTGGCTGCTGAACTGATTTCTTTGTTTGATGGGCATATCTTAGAAGTTGATGCATGACAAAGTAAGTTTATGGATAACAACTTCTTGATTATAATGTGACTGAAACGTTTTTGTACAGATCTGAACTGATTTCTATTTGGGAAATTCGTAAACCAACTAATTCTGTGTGCCAATTCATTTCTGAGCCCTTCTGCTGACCTTGAACATTACACCTGTAGCTAGTCACATCAAGTACAGCTCAGGTTCTACATCAGGGGTTTGTAGAGTGCTGAGTCCATGAGGAGTGCATCTACAGGGTTAGAAACTTTAGAACAGTTTAGGTTAGAACAGTTTTTATCCATTAGTCCTTATAATGATAACATGTAGCAATTGGCCTTAAAATAGGCCAATTTCTAATAGTCCTTACGATGCCTTTACTATTTGGCAGTTTGGTAAGAACTATAGGACTAGTGCCAATTTCTAACGCTGACCTACCTGATTCTGTCCCAGGTATTGAAGAAGATGCATTTGCTGCTGATTGAGGAACTGGGGCGGGGCACCCTGTGGGGGGTGGGGGGCCTGTTGGGGGTGTGTGGCTTGAGGAGTAGGCATTTCTTCTGATGATGGCTGTAAACATTAAAACACACATTTATTGACAAGTAATTGCATTTTTCTGACTCTTGTTGTATTGGTTAGCCATGTCCACAAAGATGAGACTTGTCTCAAAAACTGCTTTACATACTGTTGCTATAAAAAGTGAGATCGCCTCCGTGGTCTAAAGGTAGAGTGTCCGTTCAAAGGTGCGGAGTTCGATCCCCAGCCGCAGGGTTTAACATCGCAGTCCAAGATTATTGCACTCATAAAGTGACAAACGTGTGTGTGTGGCTGCTTGTACTAGTCCGGACTGATGCCGATTTATAGTGCTAGCTCACTGAGATACCATGCTGCAGTTTAACATGAATACCCTGAGCCGACCAGTCCTTGATTTAGCCCCTTTAGATACCATGAAGCAGTTTAACATGATTACCACACTCAGACTGAGTATGCAGACTCTGAGACGACCAGTCCTTGTTTTAGCACCTTAATGCCGAGCGCCAGACAGGGTCACAACAAGTACCATCTTTTAACATCTTTTGGTAGGACCCAGCCGGGGGACTCAACCACCAACCTTCCACTCCATGGGCACTCCATCCACCAGGCCATGAAGGCGGGCAATTTTTAAGTTCTCGATACAAGTATCGATCACAGTCACACACTAAGTAAAAATGTCGATTGTGACCTGAAATGTTTACTTTCACTAAACACTAAATAGTAGTGCAAGTTAAAAGTGAAAACATAAATATTTGACACGGCCAACGGTAAATCGTCAGTGTGCCAACTGTTTGGTTATCCTGTTAATGAAAAAGATGGCTTACGCACCACAGCTAAGAGTGAGTGAGTGAGTATGGTTTTACGCCGCATTTAGCAATATTCCAGCAATTTCACGGCGGGGGACACCACAAATGGGCTTCACACATTGTACCCATGTCGGGAATCGAACCCGGGTCTTCGGCGTGACGAGCGAACGCTTTAACCACTAAGCTACCCGACCGCCCCGGAAAACTATCAGAATGATCTTGTCACATACCCTTTTCCTGGACTGTGCCGCCTTCTTCTTCTGTTCCTCCTCAGTGAACCCTGCAAGGCCAGGGTGGGGGGGCAGACTGCCATTCTGTACCTGGGCTGGGGGCAACATGCCATGAGGGCGGTCAGCGGGCTGGACAACAAGGGAGACAACTCTTAGATTTGGGGGGATTCTCATGACAGATGAGATGTTAGCTCAATGACAGTTTACAATGAATTGATTTAGCTTGTTTGTTGTCTAATGCTGTAGTCAGCAATATTCCAGATATTTGTCAGCAGTTGGGGAATAGTCAAGTCTGGACCAGACGAACCAGTGATTGATATTTTGTTTGTAAGTTGTTTAATGCCACACTCAGCAATAATCCAGTGATTGATATCATGAGCATCGATCCACGCAATTGGGATACAATGACATGCATCAACCAAGTCAGAGAGCATTACCACCAGAACCCATTAGTCGCCTTTTACGACAAGCATAATCACCTTTTACGGCAAGCATGGGTTGCTGAAGACCTATTCTAACCCGGATCTTCACTAGTCCAGTCATGAAGTGAGCCATTCTGCTCACTCAATCCATTTTGTCACCTTACGACAGGCACAGGGTGCTGGTGTCCCAATTCTTCCCTGGAGTGAGTGAGTTGGGTTTAACGCCGCTTTTAACAGTATTCCAGTTATATCACGGCGCGTCAGCTTAATGTGGGAGGAAAGCCCGAAGCGATGCAGGTCTAAGACGTTTACCCACGAGCACGGGTATGGTGCTGACAAACCTAGAAACATAATCAGGGCGAACCGGGATTCGAACCCACAATCATAGGTTTCTGGTATGCCCAAGGGACGCAACTCTGCACAGCGAATCGCGGCGCCTTAAGACGACTGGGCCACCCGTGCCCCCTTCTTCCCTGGAGTGAGTGAGTGAGTGAGTATGGTTTTACGCCGCTTTTAGCAATATTCCAGCAATATCACGGCGGGGGACACCAGAAATGGGCTTCACACATTGTACCCATGTCGGGAATCGAACCCGGGTCTTCGGCGTGACGAGCGAACGCTTTAACCACTAGGCTACCCGACCGCCCCTCCTTCTTCCCTGGAAACATCACAGGGTTGTGGCACTCTACATACCTGCACTGGCTGTGGTGCCTGACTCTGTCGAGATGTGAGTTCAGCAGGGATGGGCAGTCTCCACGCTTCTTCTATGCTTGGCAGTGTGCGAGGCCTAGTTAAAACACAATATAATCAGAACTTTACATTTGTACCTCATAACAAAATCAAACAAAATCAAACAAAACATCATACAGATCTAGGAGATACTTTGCTCATAAAAAAATGAGGTGAGGTGAAATTGGGTTTAACGTCGCGTCCAAGATTATTGCACTTATATAGCGACGTGCATGCATGTGTGTGTGTGTGGCTGATGCCGATTTATAGTGCTAGCTCACTGAGATACCATGCCGCAGTTTAACAGGAATACCCCACTCAGACACAGTATACTGACTCCGTGCTGACCAGTCCTTGTTTTAGCCCCTTAATGCCGAGCGCCAGACAGGGTAACAACAAGTACCATCTTTTAACGTCTTTTGGTATGACGCGGCCGGGGATCGAACCCCGGACCTTCCGCTCTCCGGGCGGACGCTCTACCACTAGACCACGGAGGCGGCCATAAAATAATTAAATGAGGATTGAACTGACAGTATATGAATAATTACTCCTGGTAGTATCACAATGCGTAAACAAGGACTCCAGGACCAGAACCTCAAGGTCTGGTTGTTATCCATAAAAAGTTGATTTCAAGCTCACTAGCGAGAGAAATACTTGCTGGGTTGGCGACAGAGAGCTGAGGATGGTAACATCACGTCCAAAATTAAGCTACGGTGGCGAATGTTTGTTTGTTGTTTAACGCCGCACTCAGCAATATTCCAGCTATATGACAGAGGCCTGTAAATAATCGAGTCTGGACCAGACAATCCAGTGATCGACATCATGACCATTGATCCACGCAATTGGGACACGATGACACCCATCAACCAAGCCAGCGAGCCTGACCACCCGATCCCGCTAGTCGCCTCTTACGACAAGCATAGTCACCTTTAACGGCAAGCATGGGATGCTGAAGACCTATTCTACCCCGGAATCTTCACGGGTCAGGTGGTGATTGGGTCCAGGGTATCCATCCTAATACGATGGAGATCCAATACATCAGATAATGGAGGTGACAAAGATACTGGGAAGCAACAATCTCTGTGTCGTCCCACAGAGGGAAAACTCAAGCACAGATGCAGCATTAACAAAGGGGTAATAGTATTGCTGACAATGTAATGGAACATGGGGATCGCTGACAATATGCCACTCAAACAAAGTTGAAACAGACTAACAACAGTAACTTAAACGAATCAGGTGTTCTTTAACTTCTTTTACTGATATACACCTAGCACTGATAACTTTCAAACTCACTTGTTTTGGAAATGTTGCATTGGTACGTTGCTAAGATTCTGTTGCAGAAACTTCACCTTTGATGCTAGATTAGAACCGACTCGAGCTGAAAACACCAAACACAAACAAGTAAGTACTGAGTAACAAATACCAGGAAGCAAGGTGTGATTTCTTACCTAGATAACAAACACCACACCTGTCGAAGGAATGTACAGCATCACAGACTATTTCCTGATGACCACCTCAGGACACACAAAGCTGTCTCCAGCCTGGCGCACAAGTGATGAAGCAAAAATTACCTTTTTCTATGACTATCGTAATGATTGCTTCAGCATCCTCATAAGTGTGTGCTTACTCCAGACACGCAAACATTGTAAAACTCTCGGCAGGGTCTTGACCAATATTTTTTTCTTTTCTTTGTTGTTTCAAACCACACTCAGCAATATTCCAGCTATTTGACGGCGGTCTGCAAATAATTGAGACACTCCAGTGATTGATATCATGAGCATCGATCCACACAATTGGGATACGATGACATGCATCAACCAAGTCAGCGAGCCTGACCACCCAATCCCGTTAGTCGCCTCTTACGACATACATAGTCGCCTTTTACTGCAAGCATCGGTTGCTGAAGACCTATTCTACCCCGGATCTTCACGGGACCAATATATATATATTGCCTAAACGGGTCATACAATTGTACTCATGTGGTACCACAAGAAAACAAAACATTTTGTACCATTTTGTGGATATATATTTGAAAAAGAAAACAAAACATTATGTGTGTGCCTAAACTACTTGTCATGTGGAATCAGACCCACACAGTCGACATTTAAACTGAACACACTCACCACTGGACTACGCTAACAGCACAAGGAATGAGTGAGTGTTGAGTATGGTTTTACGCCGCATTTAGCAATATTCCAGCAATATCACGGCAGGGGACAACAGAAATGGGCTTCACCCATTGTACCCATGTCAGGAATCGAACCCAGGTCTTCGGCGTGACGAGCGAACGCTTTAACCACTAGGCTACCCGACCGCCCCGGCTTAAGGAATGACAGACAGACTGACTGATAATGGCGTCTCACTTTTGTTTCTGGAAGCATTCAGATAACATGTGAGGCTATCATTGGGCTGGTTGCACGCCTCATAGAGTATCCCTAGGTCCGTCCAGGCTGCAGAATGAGACTTGTCCAACTGCACCGCACATATGTAGGCCTGGAGAGCGTCCATAGGCTGGTTCTGTTGCTGATACAGCACTCTGAAACAACCAGTCAGATAACGCATTTCATTTATGGCATCCAATCAAAATGGGGGATTGTTTTTGAATTTTTGATAACCCATCTGTTTAAGAACAATTTTATTTCAGCCATCTCATCAGATTGAAGGATAATGATTTGAATTTTTGACAATCTATATAGGAACATTTCTTGTTGATTAGTGGTATCTTATTATCTATGCATCCACTTATGGTCAAAGAAAATTGACGTAGTTTTAGAATCAGATTTGAAAACTTCGGGTTGGTTTGAAAATCTTTGGAGGCCATATGTTTCAAACATACACCCAGCTGATAGGGAATTGCATTTGGTAATCATGGCAAGAATCTTAAGGTCAGTATTTTAATCGTTGTAACCTTTTTTTTCATTATTGACTGTACAGAATGAGTGAGTGAGTGAGTGAGTTGGGTTTAACGCCACTTTTAACAGTATTCCAGTTATATCGCGGCGTGTCAGCTTAATGTGGGAGGAGAGCCCGAAGTGATGCAGGTCTCAGACGTTTACCACTTCGGTGAAACCCACGAGACAGGTATGGTGCTGACAAACCTTGGAACATAATCGGGGCGAACCGGGATTCGAAACCCACAATCATAGGTTTCTGGCATGCCCAAGGGATGCAACTCATACAGCGAATCGCGGCACCTTAGACGACTAGGCCACCCGTGCCCCTGTACAGAATGAAATATGAATATGGACATAAAATTCAACCGGCAATCAGCCCGGTCTGAAAGATGAGGACAAACAGTTGATGGGAAGGAACTCACCCTATTGAGCACCAGGTGTCAGCATTAGCTTCAGACTTATCGATGGATTGGCGGTAGGACACAAAAGCATCATGGACTTTGCCTATACTAGAATAACACCTGCAAGAAAACATGGACGTGAAGTCATGGACTTTGCCTATACTAGAATAACACCTGCAAGAAAACATGGACGTGAAGTCATGGACTTTGCCTGTACTAGAATAACACCTGCAAGAAAACATGGACGTGAAGTCATGGACTTTGCCTGTACTAGAATAACACCTGCAAGGACACATGGACGTGAAGTCATGGACTTTGCCTGTACTAGAATAACACCTGCAAGGACACATGGACGTGAAGTCATGGACTTTGCCTGTACTAGAATAACACCTGCAAGAAAACATGGACGTGAAGTCATGGACTTTGCCTGTACTAGAATAACACCTGCAAGGACACATGGACGTGAAGTCATGGACTTTGCCTGTACTAGAATAACACCTGCAAGAAAACATGGACGTGAAGTCATGGACTTTGCCTATACTAGAATAACACCTGCAAGAAAACATGGACGTGAAGTCATGGACTTTGCCTGTACTAGAATAACACCTGCAAGAAAACATGGACGTGAAGTCATGGACTTTGCCTGTACTAGAATAACACCTGCAAGAAAACATGGACGTGAAGTCATGGACTTTGCCTGTACTAGAATAACACCTGCAAGGACACATGGACGTGAAGTCATGGACTTTGCCTGTACTAGAATAACACCTGCAAGAAAACATGGACGTGAAGTCATGGACTTTGCCTGTACTAGAATAACACCTGCAAGAAAACATGGACGTGAAGTCATGGACTTTGCCTATACTAGAATAACACCTGCAAGAAAACATGGACGTGAAGTCATGGACTTTGCCTGTACTAGAATAACACCTGCAAGAAAACATGGACGTGAAGTCATGGACTTTGCCTGTACTAGAATAACACCTGCAAGGACACATGGACGTGAAGTCATGGACTTTGCCTGTACTAGAATAACACCTGCAAGAAAACATGGACGTGAAGTCATGGACTTTGCCTATACTAGAATAACACCTGCAAGAAAACATGGACGTGAAGTCATGGACTTTGCCTGTACTAGAATAACACCTGCAAGAAAACATGGACGTGAAGTCATGGACTTTGCCTGTACTAGAATAACACCTGCAAGGACACATGGACGTGAAGTCATGGACTTTGCCTGTACTAGAATAACACCTGCAAGGACACATGGACGTGAAGTCATGGACTTTGCCTATACTAGAATAACACCTGCAAGGACACATGGACGTGAAGTCATGGACTTTGCCTGTACTAGAATAACCCCTGCAAGGGCACATGGACGTGAAGTCATGGACTTTGCCTGTACTAGAATAACACCTGCAAGGACACATGGACGTGAAGTCATGGACTTTGCCTATACTAGAATAACACCTGCAAGGACACATGGACAACTATACAACCATCAAGACAACCACAAGCATGCCCTGTTGGATGCAGGGGATGTATTCTCACACAAAATTTCTTTCGATCCCTAACATTTTTGTCAGAAATACTTCAGCTACAGCTGAAAATTATTTTGTCAAATTTGAACGGCTAAAAAAACAATTGTCATGAATTGCTGAAACCTTAGTCCTTACCACATTCTAGGGCTGGGACGGGTCCAAATTTACTACCCAGGTACCCGCCCCCCTATCACCCTACCCTACCCTACCCTACCCTACCCTACCCTACCCTACCCTACCCTACCCTACCCTACCCTACCCTACCCTACCCTACCCTACCCTACCCTACCCTACCCTACCCTACCCTACCCTACCCTACCCTACCCTACCCTACCCTACCCTACCCTACCCTACCCTACCCTACCCTACCCTACCCGGGTACCCACTGTAGGTCTCAGGAGATACAAAATGTCTGATTGGGAACTTTTTTAGCATAGCCCTGTCAAAACGTACTTAGATACATGTATTAAACAATCTGGTCATGCATACACTGAAGTTGACTTAAGTTATATCTTTATTCAACCATATGACAAATCAGAAGGAATTGGTGCATGCATAGTCAGAAAGAAAAGCGAACACTAATGACTGGTAGAGTTCCAGATAATTTTAATCATTAGACAATATATCACGTGACTAACCACAGGTCCGCGTAGTCCTGTGGGTACCCGGGTCCTACTCAGTAACCACCCGACCTGGCTACCCGAGTTACCCGTCCCAGCCCTACCACATTCCTCTCAACTTGTTTCCTTCGTTACTTCACAAAGTACTTGTCAAATTTTATCAACCACAATTTGTCCCAATGGGTGATAAGCTACGTGTTGTGTTTTGTAAATACCAAACACCAACTGGTTTTGTTGTGTCGTTACATCTATTCACATATGAGTTTTACTCAATTTTAGCAGGATAAACAGTAAAGTTTCAATTTACGTTAAGCGTTTTTTATAATGGATATTTTATATATATTTTTTACGAAAAACATTTGATTCATCTTTCAGTTACGATAGTTCTTGTTTTCACTCTGAACAGCATACCTCATCACTAAATCAAATTTCTCTCTCACATCTTTATCAGTAGATCATAATCTGTCAGCATGGAACATCATTAGCCGTAAGCTTACAAAAACTTGGCTAGAACTCAGGCTCTGATCTCTTGAGTGCAGACTGCACATCTTTCAGCATTAGGTTTCCTTACTTCACAGATGTGAAGAAAAGAATACAACAATAGTCAATCTTGAGTTACTAAAACACATTTGGTTTATTTTATCATGTTGATCGGCTTGAGAAAACAGCTATTGAGACTAACCTTCCAAGAAGGTACCAAGTCTGTCCATTACTGGGGTCTAACTCATTGGATTTCTGTAGGTAGTGGATCGCTCGGGTCTCTCGCGTCTGCTTGTCCCCAAACTGTTCCTCTGTGTGGTACAGCCAACCTGTCAACACAGAATGCCTTAACATCAGCCACAGTGCAACTAGATGAGTGAGTTTGAACAGGACATTACGTCACATTCAAAATATTGCGTATATATATGAAAGATTGTTCGTACGCGCATGCACTTGTACTGGTCTTAAGCTGGTATCATTATGCTAGACCAAAAAGATACATGCCACAGTTTAACACAGATATCCCACACGGACATGTTATACTGACTCAGAGCCGAACTGTCCTTGTTTTGGCCCATTCACCAGACAGGTTAACGAATAGGACCACCCTTAACGTCTTTGGGTATTACACAGCCAGGGGATTGAACCACTTTTCTTTGGCTCTCCAAACAGAAACTCCACCCACTAGACCACGAGCCTTATAGACCAATCAAATCATCAACCAAGACATGATGTTCCCTTCATCACCCTGATAATTACATCAGTATGGTTATCCAATTAAATTTGAAGTTCACATAAATCAAATCAGTATTTATGTAAAAATCTCCAATTCTCAAAGCTGTAGTGAGTGAGTATGGTTTTACGCCGCTTTTAGCAATATTCCAGCAACATCACGGCGGGGGACACCACAAATGGGCTTCACACATTGTACCCATGTCGGGAATCGAACCCGGGTCTTCGGCGTGGCGAGCGAACGAACGCTTTAACCACCAGGCTACCCGACCGCCCCTCTCAAAGCTGTAGATCTGATCAAGGTTACAACATTCAAGGCCTCGGTAAAGCTTTCAAAAAGGATTATGGTAGACATGTAGAGGACATTTCCATTTCCAAATTCGACGCATCAGTGACAAAAGTAAGTACGATTTAAATCCCTATTTTGACTTGTACCATATGTTCCCATGTTTTTTTCAGGTGAACAATTGACTTGCCTTTGCCTGTGTTTGTGATGGGTGCCAACAGTATGAGGATACGCGCAGCTTTTCGCAAACACCTGGTATCATTACTATTTGATAGTGATTCATGACACATGCTCATGATATAGTCGGAATTGTACAATCGACTCTCCTTTGTGCAGAGATTTTTTCGGATATGAAAAGGGTTTTGTCGCCTTATTGAAGACTTCAACACATGATTTTTCAAACAATCAGCTATTAACTTAACAAAGCTTGCCAAGACAGGCCACAACAATACCTACCATGACAGTACACTGACACACAACCAGCTTAGTACCAGAAAGAAGCCGAGCCAGAAGGAGTGAGTGAGTGAGTGAGTGAGTGAGTGAGTGAGTGAGTGAGTGAGTGAGTATGGTTCTATGCCGCTTTTAGCAATATTCCAGCAATATCATGGTGGTGGACACCAGAATGGGCTTCATACATTTTACCCATGTGGGGAGCTAAACCTGGGTCTTTGGCTTGACGAACAGGCAATTAACCACTCGCTACCCTACTGTTACCTAAAAGAAGGAAAACTGTCTGATAATGCCATCACCAATAATATTCATTGCTTGGTCTGTTCAAATATATATCCTCAGAAACAGAATATTCTTTTAAAAAATATGACCATTGCTTTTTCGCACAATCATCCATAAAATTAAATCAGAAAACTTCATGATCAAGAAATAATGCTGATAATTACACCAAAAAACTTCTCCGAAAAAATATCGAATATAAATGTATTAAGAAGCATGACGAACTCATCAGTAAACCCATCTGGCAAAACCTACCAATTATTTCCTTCACTGTCAACACAAATCCAAAATCCAGATAAAAAACAAGAGTACACTAATTCACTCCTCCGTGTTCCAGTTGGCTAAACATGAATGTAAAACCATTCATTAATCCCGACGTTCTGCCTACCTTAAACCTTCCTCTCACGTCCCTACTCGCAATTCAGCAGCCATCCCAACATCACGCAACCCAAGTACTAATCTTCAGTCTGTCTTTGATGAAGAGCTGTTAACATGTTCCAAGCACCGACTACCATTGTCACCTACAACATCAGCCTATATAGGCAACCAGCACCGACTGCACCGACCTATCCCACCGATCTCCCTCCACTGCGGTGATCAGACCCAGATCAATACCAGATCACAAGTAACAAGTAGGACCCAATGTCTTCACCTGGCTTCAGGCAAGGTCACATGACCACTGACTGACAGCTTGGTGGGGTCAGACATGACCTGGAACCAGTGACAGTTGGAAAGGTGGTTATTATGGGTCTTGTATTATGGTAACTATACCAGACCTGACATGGCCTTGTTATATAGGTCACACACTTCCATAACATGTGTGCATGTTACCTATGTAATGCTTTAAGGCCTTGAATATTGTCTAGACAGCATATTCAGGAAAATAGGGATGACTACAAATTCACTGCTTTAACTTAAGTCAGTGATCCTATAAAAGGGAATATTATTCAAATTATATTGCTAAAGTACAAAAGGAGACATCTTAATGAATACACCATCAGCCGTTATTTAAATAATTTTTACAACCAATAAATCTTATGAACTCTCTACCTACACTAACTGACATTTATTATTGTTAACATCAAAACAAAGCTTGGGGCTTCCTAACCCGGAAAACGTGAAACCCTACCTGTGCTGGAAAAAGCATTAAGAACAATGTATGTTTCCGTTGCATATATCTAATTCCTGAGGGTTAATTACGATCTGACCTAGATCCGAGTTAGACAAGTAGGTCATGACTATGTCATTTTATCGGTGAAATGAATGTGACACAAACAATGCTTGATAACCATAGAGCTATCAACACTCTCACGGCAATTCAATTATGTTGGTTGGTTGGTTTATTTGTTGTTTAACGCTGCACTCGGCAATATTCCAGCTATATGACGGCGGTCTGTAAATAATTAAGTCTGGAACAAACAATCCAGTGCTTGAAAACATGAGCATCGATCCATGCAACTGGGATATGATGACATGCATCAAATTGAGTCAGCGAACCTGACCACCCGTTCCGCTAGTCGCCTCTTGCGACAAGCACAGTCGCCTTTTACAGCACGCATGGGTTGCTGAAGACCTATTCTACCCCGCATCTTCATGGCTCAATTCAATTATGTGCATCATCTCATGTAAAACTTCATTCCTTTTCATACACTTTGACAGAAAATAACTCCCCATTGTTTGAAACTTGTGAATAGTGAGTGAGTATGATTTTACGCCGTTTTTAGCAATATTCTAGCAACATCACGGTGGGGGACACCAGCTTCACACATTGTACCCATGTCGGGAATCAAACCCGGGTCTTCGGCGTGCTGAGCGAACTCTTGGCTACCCGACCACCCCGAAACATGTGAATGAAAAGGGTTTGTTTTGACATGACTGGTCTCGTCCAAATTATTTCTTGAAAATGGTAAATTTACAAGGTTAAGAATCCTGAATAAATGGAGAGGTAAGCTCCGATACATTCATTGGCAGAAATAATTAATGTATCTATACATTCATCGGCTGAAATAATTAATGTACCTATACATTCATCAGCTGAAATAATTATTGTATCTACACATTCATTGGCCGGAATAATTAATGTATCCATACATTCATCCGCTGAAATAATTAATGTACCTATACATTCATCAGCTGAAATAATTATTGTATCTACACATTCATTGGCCGGAATAATTAATGTATCTATACATTCATCAGCTGAAATAATTAATGTATCTACACATGCATCGAGTGAAATAATCAATGCATCTATACATTCATCGGCTGAAATAGTTAGTGAGTGAGTTTGGTTTTACGCCACTTTTAGCAATATTCCAGCAATATCACAGCGGAAATGGGCTTCACACATTGTACCCATGTCGGGAATCGAAACCAGGTCTTCGGCGTGACGAGCAAACACTTTTACCACAAGGCTACCCGAGCACCCCCATCGGCTGAAATAGTTAATGTATCTATACATCCACCATCAGTGTTCAAACCTAAGGGCGGTCTCTGGGATTCTTAGTTTACTCCACTAGTACTTGAATCTAAATAACCCCTTAAACTTCATCTATTAACATCATGGTTATGAGTGAATGAGTGAGTGAGTGAGTGAGTGGGTGAGTGGGTGAGTGGGTGAGTGAGTGAGTGAGTGAGTGAGAGTGGTGAGTGAGTGAGTGAGTGAGTGAGTGATTTAGAAATGTCCCAACCACTCTATGTCCCACCCACTCTATGTCCCAACCACTCTATGTCCCACCCACTCTATGTCCCACCCACTCTATGTCCCACCCACTCTATGTCCCAACCACTATGTCCCAACCACTCTATGTCCCACCCACTCTATGTCCCAACCACTCTATGTCCCAACCACTCTATGTCCCAACCACTCTATGTCCCAACCACTCTATGTCCCAACCATTCTATGTCCCACCCACTCTATGTCCCAACCACTCTATGTCCCACCCACTCTATGTCCCACCCACTATATATCCCACCCACTCTATGTCCCACCCACTCTATGTCCCACCCACTCTATGTCCCACCCACTATATGTTCCAACCACTATATGTCCCACCCACTCTTTGTCACAATCACTATATGTCCCAACCACTATATGTCCCAACCACTATATGTCCCAACCACAACTGCCACCTAAATCACAACTGACAGCTGACAGCTGCTTCAGCCCTTTAAGCCCAGCCCAACTGCATCAACACCTACCACATCTACCACAGCGACAACTACAACTTCACATTCATCTTCTGCCTGAGCCAAGCGTAGAGAAACTATCACGACAAAAGCCTATGCTAGCAGCTTTAACTTTAAGACAATGTCACATCGCAAATGACAGATAATGATAATCTGTAGCCGCCAGATTCTGTTTTTCTTTCCTGTTATTTTTTTCCAGGGATCCAGACAAGATTGCCTCAAGACACAAATGTTTAACACAGGCCTATGTGGCCACCCACAGATACATAGAAACACAACTCACCTCCAACTTTCGAAGACAACTGTGACAGTTTCTCATCATCTACCTCCAACAGCTTTAACAAACAATATGACCAAGATTGAACTAGATGCCTATCAATATCCCATTGACAC